GCGACCTAGCGCGAGTCCGTCTGGCCGGTCCGTCGTATGGAACGGGACGTTGGCGACCGTCCGGTGTCTCCGGCAGCTCTAGACGGCACGGATCGGGCCTGGAAGGACCGGCCCCGCCGTGGAGATCCGGCCGCCGGTGGTCGGCAGCAGTCAGTTCCGAGACACCTGGGAGCGGGTCAGGCGGAGACATGTGAGGAGCAGGCAAGGACAATTCCCCCTCAGGGTCGTCGGTCACGTCACATGCTCGGCCCTCACGACACAAGGGGAGGCCATACGGAGGCGAGAACGGTTTCAGTCGGGAGGGGTGGACGTACCAACGGCGTTTCCCTCATTTTATCTGAACGCACTGGGGGCGCGCAACCCGCACGACCTCCACGGGTCCCCGCCACGGCTTCAACAATTTAGGCGACGTGGCCAAAGGTGCCTGAGGGCAATGCAGCCAGGCCTTGTCACCTGGTTCCCAATTGTGCACGGATACCTTCCGTGCCCGCAACCGCTCGTTCGCAATTTGGCGAGCCCGCGAATTAAGCCGTGCGGCCTCCCTTGCCTCTGTCAGTTTATGAATATTAAATTTAATATGCTCTGCCAATTTAGAATTAGTTCGTGGTGCGGGCAGACCCAGCTGCGTTTCCATGGGCGGGTCGGCTTCCCGGCCGTACATTAGAAAAAACGGGGAAAACCCCGTAGCTGCATGGGGGGCCATTCTATACGCGGCAAGGACCCCAGGGACCTGCAGGTCCCAATCAACATGCGACTCACACACCTGCTGGCACAGCATAGAGGTCAATGTCCTGTTAAGCCTCTCCACCATCCCGTCTGTCTGCGGGTGGTACGGGGAGGTACGCACCTTTTTGGTACCCAACAGGTCGCACACCTCCTGCAGTAATTTACTCGAAAAATTTTTCCCTTGGTCAGTCAGCAAGCGTTCGGGAGCCCCCTTGTCCAGGACGTAGCCCTGGACAAAGGCGTCCGTCACAGCCGCCGCCGACTGGTTGGCGAGTGGCCACGCCATAGGCCACCGGGTAAAATATTCGACCCCCACCAACAGGTACTTATTACCCCTAGGCGTGACCGGAAAGGGCCCCAGAATATCGAGTGCAACGAGCTCGTTAATGCGCGAGACCTGAATAGATTGCAGCGGTGGATTAGCTGCCACGGGCGGTGGTTTCCGTCTGGCGCACTCAACACAACCCTTCAGAATATTCACCACGTCACCCCCCATTCCCGGCCAATAATAGTCACGCTGAAGCAGGGCAAGCGTTTTGTTAACTCCCAAATGCAAGAGGCGTTCGTGTGCGGCCAAGACAACCTTCCCCCTCACAGCAGAAGGCACCACAATCGAATGCCGCCGGGACAAACTGTCCCATCTCATCAACAGGCCCTGCTTAAGCTCGTAGGAGCCAGTTCGGTCGTGGCTACCTTCGGAACCCTCCGTCTTTCGGCGCAATGCCAGCAGGGAGCTGTCCGCCATTTGGAGACGGCCCCACTCAATCAACGACAGTGAGAGCAGCGAGTCCTGACCCCCTGGGGTAGCGGGACCATCCCCAATTGGTGTGCTCGCGGTCGCAACCAACGCCTCCCTACCTTCCGTAACCGGAGGTTTACAGCGCGCCGATCCCGATAAGCACGCACATTTGTGACAAGGCAACAACCGCGACAGGGCATCGGCATTCGTGTGTCGCAACCCTTTACGGTACGTAGTCGTGAACTGATAGTCCTGGAGGACTTCCAACCACCGCGACAATTGGCCCGAGGGCTGGGCAACCCGTAATGAATACTGGAGCGCCGCATGGTCCGTCCGGACCGTGAAATGACGACCATAGAGATATGGCCTGAATTGTTGTACAAAAAAAACAATGGCAAGTAGTTCACGACGGGTGACGCAGTAGCGCTGCTCTGCCGGCGACAACACCCTGCTACCATAGGCGACCACCCGTTCGACCCCTCCAATGACTTGGGACAGCACCCCCCCAATGCCCGTGTTGCTAGCATCCGTGTCTAGCAAGAAGGGACTCTCAAAGTCCGGATAGCGCAAGGGTGGGGCTCTTACCAAGGCGTCCCGGAGGGAGCAGAATGCAGCCTCCTCCTCCGGTCCCCACCGGAACTTCACTCCTTTTGCCGTTAAAGCGTGCAAGGGCTTTGCAATGGTGGCGAAGTGCTCAACGAATCGGCGATAATACGAAGCAAAACCGATGAAACTGCGCACGTCTGACACTGACGTGGGCGTCGGCCACGAACTGACACAGTCCGTCTTCGCAGGATCGGTAGAAATCCCCGAAGAGTCGACAATGTGACCCAAGTACCTCACGGATTTACGAAAAAGATGGCATTTGGCCGGTTTAACCTTTAATTTAGCCGATCGCATTCGCGAGAACACCCCTCTCAATCGCTGGAGGTGTTCTTCGAACGTTTTACCGAAAACAATGACATCGTCAAGGTAAATGAGGCACGTTTCCCACTGCAAGCCCGACAAAACCAATTCCATAAGACGCTGAAACGTCGCAGGAGAGGAGTGAAGTCCCATGGGTAACCGGTTAAACTGAAACAGGCCCCCTGGAGTCCGGAATGCAGTCTTAGGCTTAGACTCCTCGTCGAGTGGCAACTGCCAAAATCCGGACAATAAATCAAGAGTCGAAAAGTATCGCGCACCGGACAATGCGTCGAGAGACTCGTCCATCCTGGGGAGCGGATACGCGTCGGCCACCGAGATCTTATTCAGGCGGCGGAAATCGACGCAAAATCGCAGGGACCCGTCCTGCTTTTTAACGAGCACAATAGGTGCTCCCCAAGGACTGGAAGAAGGCGAAATAATGTCGGCTTCCAGCATATCGTTAACTGCCGACTGAACATGTTCCTTCTCAGCAGGACTCAGTCGGAAGGGATTTTGCCTGACCGGTGCCGCATCGCCCGTTTCAATGTGGTGGCGTAGCAGGTCCGTGCATCCGATATCATACTTATGTTTACTGAAGACATCCGAAAATTCAATCAGCAACCCGCGCAACGCGCCCAACTGTACCGCTGACAAATCGTCAGAGTCCGCGCACAGCATATCAATCCAATCTAGGTCCTCCTTTGATGGTACGCTATTCGTGGGGCTCGGATCAACCTGCGCAACCAGCCTCTCCTCCGCAGGGACCCGTGCCGCGTGAGCCAGCACGGTGCCCTGCTGAATGACGGCCGGCCGCGCCCCAGCGTTTAAAACCATGACAAACGGATCCCTGTCTGCCCCAACCAAAGTGTGAGCCACCGATAAATCGAGACCTCCAACAGTTCTATTAGAAGGACCCAAAAGCATGGCCTGTTCCGAGGCCTCCTTCCCCCATGGCTTCCGTAACCGGAGGGGAATCAACATTTGTGAACCCGGGGGCACGTGCACGGTCTGTGTTGCTAACGCCTGAATGGTAGCGCACGCCGTCCGAATTACATTAGGGCTCGTCAAAAATGAAATACGGCGACCCGATGGTAGTTCAATGCAACGCTGATCAATGAGAATTTTGATGGGCATTTTCGCCAAAAAATCAGTGCCCAATAGGCAAGGAACCGCCAGGGAAGATGAAACGAAAACGGGTCCCGACAATTTGATATCACCAATGCAAATGGACGCCCTAATCTGACCGATAATGCCCAACGATCCCCCGTTAGCGGCGTAAAATGGCACATCCACCGGAAGAAGCGGACGACATTGTACCGGGAGAATATTATAAATGAGATCCGAAATAATAGTCGCCGATGCCCCCGTGTCCACTAACACCCTGACCTCGACCCCATCAATCGATCCGGTAACGACGGATGAACCCGCTGAGGCAGCCACAATTCTGTACCCCACTTCTGACACCAGTTGAAGTATGGGAATTGACGGCAGGAACTTCTTGACGGGTAACACACTTTTATTAAATCCTTTAGGTATCACAATACAACGTGTGGTCTTCCTTCTTCCTCCGACACACTCCGCTAATCTCGTATAAGCTCTAGGCCTCTGGCTACACACCATATACTCGACTCGTGTAAGCCCTATGCCTCTGGCTACACAATACACTCGACTCGTGTAAGCCCTATGCCTCTGGCTACACAATACACTCGACTCGTGTAAGCCCTATGGCTACACCCACTACACTCGCCTCTGGGTTACACAGAGTCCCGGTCCCCTTAGGACAGCGGGGCTAGGTACCGCAGGGCTCTAGGTCTTCATCCCCGTCTTCATTCTTCGCTGGTTACACACTGCCCTTACGCCTGTGTGCATCCCCTTTTATAGCCCCTGCTCACGAGGGACGGAGCTGATGCGGCGTCGACGTGAGCGTCGTTCCTTAATGACCCAATCACGACGCACTCTCTCTACGATCCGCTTTCCCCAGCGCGTGTTAACATTACTCCACCAATCACACTGCGCTGCCACCTGATCACTCCCTCTCAGCGCGTCACCGCCCACAGCCAATCGGTACCCCGTAACCCACGACCCCGCGCTGACCCCTGATCCTCCACCGTCAGCGCGCGTCACCACCTACACAGCCAATCATCACACACTGTGCATACGATCCTTAATCCCAGCGCGTATCACCTCTACACATGTGTGTGTGCGTGTGGTGTGTATTTTGGTGCGTGTGTGTGCGCGTGTGGGTGTTCGTGTGTTTGGGTTCGTGTGTTTGCGCGTTTGCGTGTGTTAATTGGTGCGTGTGTGTGTGCGTTGGCGTGTTGGCATGTGCATGCGCGCGTGCGGTTGTGCGCGTGTATGTTTTCGTGTGTTTGCCTGCGTGCATGTGTGCGTGCGTGTGTGCGCGCGTGCGCGCGCGTGCACGTGCACGTGCGTGCGTGCGTGTGTGTTTGGGGAGCTGCGGCGCAGCGCTCAGCTACGCTGCGCTACGAACCCGGCGACCCAAATTCGGTTCCCGCTCACGGCCACCAACACCGGTGACGCCTAACCCACACCGTGTTGAGCTGAGAATCACCACCGCCGCCTAACCACCACCCCCGACCCCTGACCTCGACCCCGGCGTTCTCCGCAGGTGAACTGCAACCAGATCTGCGCCGCCGGCTACTCCGAGGCGACGAAGCGAGCGATGGCGCAGCTCAGCGAGAAGGAGCTGTCCTTCGAGCTGGTGGAGGCGCTGATTCGCTACATCGGCACGCTCAGCGTTCACGGCGCCATCCTGGTCTTCCTGCCCGGCTGGAACCTGATCTTCGCGCTGCAGAAGTACCTGGAGAACTTGCCGCACTTTGGTGAGGCCGCGGTTTTGTTGCGGTGGGCGATGCCGGTCCGGTGAGGGGGACCGGGGGGGGGCGGGGGAGGAGGGGGGGGGGGGTGCTTCCAGATCTGGCATCAGTTTTTAAATCCTTTATATTAAGTTCACTTGCTTGCTTAGGACCGTGCAAATCTTTCGGTCGTTTTTTAACCAACTTCCCGTGATCCAATCGAGCGGACATTTTGCACACAGACTCGTTGTGACAGACAATTAATGTTCGTGAAATTTTTTTTTCCAAAATTTTACACTTTTTAGTAAAAAATAAATTATATTTAATTACCAATTGCTTAATGGTGGCAGGCAATCATCTGACCCATAGGTGGCAGCCATCTCAAGCCAGAGGTTTTTACGGGTTAATTTTTGTCCATCACATCAGGTTTTTGAGATATCAAATATTGCATTTTCAATAAAAACTGCAGAAGAAAAGTATTAAATAAATGTGGATATCTACATAAAATGATATTATAAACACACCGTCCTAAAAACACAGCACCGTATTTTAACACTAAAGCAGCCACTGACTCGCAACAACTTGCAATCGTAAGTGACGGAGTTAATTTCGGGTAAAATTTAATGAAAATGGGGTATGCCGATAGCATACAAATGAGATGTGATAGAGCAAATTTGAGATGAGATTTGGAATCGGCACCCTGAAATTAGCAAAAGTCCAGGCCAGAAAAAAATGTTTATTTTTTGTTAACCAGTGTTATTTGAACCGGTCCTGGTGTCCTCTCGTAGGTAGACTCGGCCTCAAATAAGTAGCTTGGTGCGGTGTGTAAACATCGCCACTGGGGAGACAAAGGCGGCCGAGCGTGGTGCTGGCCACCCACCCCCTCGTGTGCCGTGCCGGCCTTCATAGGCGCTCGCTAACAGCACTTGCCCCAACAGTCCGTTCAAGCTATACGGGGGATCTTTGTCTTTGTGTGTATTGTGGGGGGAGCGGTGGTGCAGCAGTTAGCGCTACGCTGCACTACGAACCCGGCGACCCGAGTTCGATTCCCGCTCACGGCCAACACCGGTGGACGATTATCTGACCCGGTCCTGGGCCTCCCCTAGGTCGTCTCGGCATGAAATGAGTACCCGGTGCGATGTGGTAAACATCGCCACTGGGGAGACAAAGGCGGCCGGGCGTGGTGCTGGCCACCCACCCCCTCGTGTGCCACAGTGCCGGTAGCCTTCACAGGTGCTGCTTCTCGCTAACAGCACTTGCCCCGACGGTCTGTTGAGGCTACACGGGGGATCTTTGTCTTTGCGTGGTGAGCAGGGGGGGGCCGGTACCGGATCCTGCCGCTCCACTCGCAGATCCCGCGGGAGGAGCAGCGTCTGGTGTTCGACAGCGTGCCTGACAACGTCACCAAGGTGCCGTCGCTGCTGTCGGCATCGTCGTCATCATCGTCATCATCATCGTCGTCATCATTGTCATCATCATCATTGACGTCGTGATCGCTGCTATCGGCATCGTCGTCATCATCATCGTCATCATCGTTATTGTCATCATCATTGTCGTCATCATCGTCGGCATCGTCGTCATCATCGTCGTCGTCATCATCATTGACGTCATCATCATCGTCACCACCGTCATCATCATCATCATTGTCACCGTCGTCATCATCATTATCATCGTCACCACCGCCACCGTCATCATCATCATCATCGTCACCGTCGTCATCATCATCGTCATCGTCATCACCGTCATCATCATCATCGTCACCATCGTCATCATCATCATCATCGTCACCACCGTCGCCATCATCATCGTCACCACCGTCGCCACCGTCACCATCATCGTCACCACAGTCGTAATCATCGTGATCACCGACACCACCGTCGCCAACATCGTCATCATCATCACCACCGTCACCATCGCTTCCACCTTTATCATCGTCACTACCGTCACCATCATCGTCACCACAGTCATCATCGTCGTTACCACCATTATCATCGTCATCATCGTCATCACCGACACCACCGTCACCAACATCGTCACCACCGTCATCTTCACCGTCATCACAGTCATCATCGTCGTTACCACCATTATCATCGTCATCATCGTCATCACCGACACCACCGTCACCAACATCGTCACCACCGTCATCTTCACCGTCATCACAGTCATCATCGTCGTTACCACCATTATCACCGTCACCACCGTCATCATCGTCATCACCGACACCACCGTCACCAACATCATCAAAATCGTCACCAACTTCGTCACCAACATTGTCACCACTGTCACCACCGTCATCACTGTCGCCACCTTTATCATCGTCACCACCGTCACCATCATTGTCACCACAGTCATCATCGTCGTTACCACCACCATCATCGTCATCATCGTCATCATTGACGTCATCATCGTCATGACCGACACCATCACCAGCATCGTCACAATCGTCACCACCGTCACAATCATCGTCACCAACATCGTCACCACTGTCACCACCGTCATCACTGTCGCCACCTTTATCATCGTCACCACCGTCATCATCGTCGTTACCACCACCATCATCGTCATCATTGACGTCATCATCGTCATGACCGACACCATCACCAACATCGTCACAATCGTCACCACCGTCACCATCATCGTCACCACAGTCATCTTCACCGTCACCACAGTCATCATCGTCATCATCGTCATCACCGTCACCAACATCGTCACCACTGTCATCATCACCACCGTCACCATCGCTTCCGCCTTTATCATCGTCGCCACCGCTATCACCACCGCTATCATCACCGCCACCACCGCTAGCGTCGCCAACACCGCTATCATCACCGCCACCACCGTGACTGCCCCTCTCCCCCCCCCCGCCATGTCCTGGTGCACCAGGTGATCCTGTCGACCAACATCGCCGAGACGAGCATCACCATCAACGATGTCGTCTACGTCATCGACTCCTGCAAGTACGGATCCCCCCCCCCCGCTCACGGCCAACACCGATTATCTGAACCGGTCCTGGGCCTCCCCTAGGTCGACTCAGCCTCAAATGAGTACCTGGTGCGGTGTGTAGTGAACATCGCCACTGGGGAGACAAAGGTGGCCGGGCGTGGTGCTGGCCAGCCACCCCCTCGTGTGCCGTGCCGGCCTTCATAGGTGCTGGCTAACAGCACTTGCCCCTACAGTCTGTTAAGGCTACACGGGCGATCTTTGTTTTGTGGGGAGCGGTGGTGCAGTGGTTAGAGCTACGAAGCTGACGACCCGAATTCGATTCCCGCTCACGGCCAACACCCAGTGACGATTATCTGAACCGGTCCCGGGCCTCCCCTAGGTCGACTCGGCCTCAAATGAGTACCCGGTGCGGTGTGTAAACATTGCCATTGGGGAGACAAAGGCGGCCGGGCGTGGTGCTGGCCACCCACCCGCTCGTGTACCGTGCCGGCCTTCATAGTTGCTTGCTTACAGCACTTGCCCCTAGTCTGTTAAGGCTACACGGGGGATCTTTGTCTTTGTTTTGTGGGGAGCGGTGGTGCAGCGGTTAGCGCTACGAACCTGACGACCCGAATTCGATTCCCCCTCACGGCCAACACCGGTGACGATTTTCTGAACCGTTCCTGGGTCTCCCCTAGGTCGACTCGGCCTCAAATGAGTACCTGGTGCGGTGTGTAAAATCATCGCCACCGGGGAGACAAAGGCGGCTGGGCGTGGTGCTGGCCATAGGTGCTCGCTCACACCACTTGCCCCTACAGTCTGTTCAGGCTACACGGGGGGGTCTTTGTCTTTTGTGTGTGCGTGTGTGTGTGCGTGTGTGTGTGCGTGTGTGTGTGCGTGCGTGCGCCTGCGTGTGTGCGTGTGTGCACACACAACCCATGGTCACCAGTGTATTCCACCACGCGACCTCCTGCCAGCAGGGCGTCGCCGTTGACGACGACGCCGTTCATCTTCTTGGTTCTTTCGGTAAAGTCGTCACGTAGAAGGGAAGTAATAAAATAATAAAAATAAAACACAATAAAATAATTCTCACGACGTTTCGGCCACAACGCAAGCAGCCGTCCTCAGGTCTGTCGGGGAGACAGCGTCTGAATGAAACAACACCACACTTGGAGCGTATATTTATGCTGGGTTGGAGGGGGGGGGAAGGGCGCCTTGACAAAAGACTGAGCCTTCTTATCACGGCTGCTTGCGTTGTGGCCGAAACGTCGTGAGAATTATCTTATTATGTTTTATTTTGTATTATTTTATTAATTCCCTTCTACGTGATGACTTTACCGAAAGAACCAAGAAGGTGAATCCCTGCAGTCACGAAAGAAGCTTTAAATCGAGACGACGTCGTTTGTTTATTTGTTGTTGTTGTTGTTGTTGCTGCGTGCCGGCAGGCAGAAGGTGAAGCTGTTCACGTCGCACAACAACATGACCAACTACGCCACCGTGTGGGCGTCCAAGACCAACCTGGAGCAGCGGCGAGGGCGTGCCGGCCGCGTGCGAGCCGGGTTCTGCTTCCACCTGTGCAGCCACGAGCGCTTCAAGCGGTGAGCGGTGGTGGGAGGGGGAAGTGGGGGGGGGGTGGGGGTGGGGGGGGGTGGTGTGGGGGGAGGTGGTGGTGTGGGGGGTTGGAGGTGGGGGGGGGGAGTGGGGGGTGGTGGGGGGGTGGGGGGGGAGGTGGAGTGGGGGTATGGAGTGGGGGGGGGTGGGGAGGTGGGTTGGGGTGGTGGGGGGTGGGGGGGGGAGTGGGGGGTGGTGGTAGGGGGGAGAGGGGGGGGGGTGGGGAGAGGTGGGGGGTGGGGAGGTGGGGAGGGGGTGGAGTGGGGGGGTGGATTGGGGGTGGAGTGGGGGGTGTAGTGGGGGGTGTAGTTGGGGGGGTGTAGTTGGGGGGGTGTAGTGGGGGGGGGTGTAGTGGGGGGGTGTAGCGGGGGGGGTGTAGTGGGGGGGGTGTAGGAACGTCGTCACAACGACAACAAAAACAACGTCAAATCACCGTCGAAGCCGAAGCCGGCGGTGGCGGTGAGTGGCGGTTCGCGCGTTGATTTTTACAAACTCCCTTCCCCCCCGTGACCCCCCCCCCGTGACCCCCCCCCGTGACCCCCCCCCCCGTGACCCCCCCCCCCCCCCCGTGACCCCCCCCCAGGCTGGAGTCCCACCTGACCCCGGAGATCTTCCGCACGCCGCTGCACGAGGTGGCGCTCAGCATCAAGCTGCTGCGGCTCGGAGCCATCGGCCACTTCCTGGCCAAGGCCATCGAGCCGCCCCCCCTCGACGCCGTCATTGAGGCCGAGCACACACTCAGAGGTGGGGGGGGGGGGGTGTGGGGGGGGGGCAGGCTGGGGGGGGTGGGGGGGGGGTGGGGTGGGGGGGTGTGAGAGGTGTGGGGGGTAGGGTGGGGGTGGGAGGTGTGGGAGGTGGGGGGGGGTGGGAGGTGTGGGAGGGTGGCAGAGGTCGCAACCGGGTACCCGATACCCGTACCCTACCCGATACCCGGCTACCCGTACCCGGCCGGGTACGGGTAGCCGTTTGCGACCCTGGTGCGGCCGGGTACGGGTAAGGAATCAAAACCCATTTGCGACCTCTGGAGGGTGGGAGGTGAGTGGGGGGTGGGGGCAGGGTGGGGTTAGGAATTGGGGGGGGTGGGAGGTGTGAGAGGTGTGGGGGGGGGACAGGGTGGGGGTGGGAGGTGAGTGGAAATTGGGGAGTTGGTGGTGAGTGGGGCTGGGGGCAGGGTGGCGAGGTGGGAGGGGGTTTGTGGGTGGGAGTTGGGCAGGAGGTGGGTGGTGTGGGTGGGGGGGTGACGGTGGCGAGGGGGCAAGGGGTGGGGGGAGGAGTCAAACAGAGACCCATAGTCTCACCACACAGAGACCACTAGACTCATCACACAGAGACCCACAGACTCATCACACAGAGACCCACAGACTCATCACACAGAGACCCACAGACTCATCACACAGAGACCCACAGACTCATCACACAGAGACCCATAGACTCACCACACAGAGACTCATAGACTCATCACACAGAGACCCACAGACTCACCACACAGAGACCCACAGACTCATCACACAGAGACCCACAGACTCATCACACAGAGACCCATAGACTCACCACACAGAGACTCATAGACTCATCACACAGAGGACCCACAGACTCATCACACAGAGCCCACAGACTCATCACACAGAAGACCCCCGCTCATCACACAGAGACCCACAGACTCATCACACAGAGACCCACAGACTCATCACACAGAGACCACAGACTCATCACACAGAGACCCACAGATCATCACACAGAGACCCACAGACTCATCACACAGAGACCCACAGACTCATCACACAGAGACCCACAGACTCATCACACAGAGACCCATAGACTCACCACACAGAGACCCACAGACTCATCACACAGAGACCCACAGACTCACCACACAGAGACCCACAGACTCATCACACAGAGACCCACAGACTCATCACACAGAGACCCACAGACTCATCACACAGAGACCCACAGACTCATCACACAGAGACCCACAGACTCATCACACAGAGACCCATAGACTCACCACACAGAGACCCATAGACTCATCACACAGAGACCCACAGACTCACACAGAGACCCACAGACTCATCACACAGAGACCCACAGACTCATCACACAGAGACCCATAGACTCACCACACAGAGACCCATAGACTCATCACACAGAGACCCACAGACTCATCACACAGAGACCCATAGACTCACACACAGAGACCCACAGACTCATCACACAGAGACCCATAGACTCACCACACAGAGACCCACAGACTCATCACACAGAGACCATAGACTCATCACACAGAGACCCACAGACTCATCACACAGAGACCCATAGACTCATCACACAGAGACCCACAGACTCATCACACAGAGACCCACAGACTCACCACACAGAGACCCACAGACTCACCACACAGAGACCCACAGACTCATCACACAGAGACCCACAGACTCACCACACAGAGACCCACAGATCACCACAGAGACCCATAGACTCATCACACAGAGACCCACAGACTCATCACACAGAGACCCACAGACTCATCACACAGAGACCCATAGACTTACCACACAGAGACCCATAGACTCACCACACAGAGACCCACAGACTCACCACACAGAGACCCACAGACTCATCACACAGAGACCCACAGACTAATCACACAGACCACAGACTAATCACACAGAGACCCACAGACTCACCACACAGAGACCATAGACTCATCACACAGAGACCCACAGACTCATCACACAGAGACCCACAGACTCACCACAGAGACCCACAGACTCACCACACAGAGACCCACAGATCATCACACAGAGACCCACAGACTCACCACACAGAGACCATAGACTACCACACAGAGACCACAGACTCATCACACAGAGACCCATAGACTCACCACACAGAGACCCACAGACATCACACAGAGACCCATAGACTACCACACAGAGACCCATAGATCATCACACAGAGACCCACAGACCATCACACAGAGACCCACAGACTCACACACAGAGACCCACAGACTCATCACACAGAGACCCACAGATCACCACACAGAGACCCATAGACTACCACACAGAGACCCAGACTCACCACACAGAGACCATAGACTACACAGAGACCCACAGACTCATCACACAGAGACCCACAGACTCATCACACAGAGACCACAGACTCATCACACAGAGACCACAGACTCACCACACAGCGACCCATAGACTCTTACCCACACAGAGACCCATAGACTCACCACACAGAGACCCATAGACTCATCACAGAGGACCCATAGA